AAACCCCAGGGATGCCCCCAAGATGGGGGGGGGGGAAAAAAAAAAAAAAAAAAAAAAAAAAAAAGCTAGTGGTTCAACATGCATGAGGTCCTCAGCCACTGCCACAGAACATCCGCTGAACTGCCGGCGTAGCTGTGAGATGTCTAAAATCACACTCGTCTGTTCATGCTCTGAGCTCCAGCAGAAGTTGTTTTACCATTCTAGTGGCAACTGGCCAGGACTTTCCAAACATGCATCTGGCACCTGATGTTTCAGAAGATCAACTCCTCATCAGCATGAAGCCTGAACCTCCAAGTTAATGCCTGTATCCCTGTTTGCTGAAGTGCTCAGCTGGAGGCATGTGATCAGGAGATAAACTGTTCTATCCCTGAGCAATAAGTAGTGTTGGAATTATGCAAAGGCCATGTGAGCTCTCATATATTGTAGGAAACGCAGTTAGGGAAAATATTTTCAGCTTGATTTCAATAGCGTGTGTAGAAACTTTGAAATGATTACCACTCAATCATGCACACACACACTAGCATTTGTTTTACTACTATTAGCTCATAATCTTAAGAGAAGCTAGCACAGTGACTACTGTAAAGGTCACCCAGTTATTAATAGAAATATACAAAATCAGAGTTTTCAGGACATTGTGTCTGCAAGAGTAAAAGACAGACCTTAACGCCCTCGGAGATTTCTCTAGCCTTGTGCTCAGATGCTATTCCTTTCATACAGTCAGAGAATTACACAGAGGTCCCTCTTTGGAAAGGAAGCAGGCCTTTCTACTACAGCAGCTTAAAATGGAAAACAGACTTTGGAGTCTCTTGGATGAGAGGTAGATGGCTAAAGCAACGTTAGCTTTGAACTTTGCAAGAGGAACAGCGATTACTCTCAGGAGACATGCACAACGCCCAGTGCTTGAAAAGAACTTTGCAATCAATCGATGTTGCTTTTAGCTCCCCTCAGCACGTTTAGAATTTGCCTAGTGCATTCCTCCCTCACAAGCCTGGGATTTCCACACCTATTTAAAACTAACAAGCAGGAGCATGCTATGAGTGAACTGACTGGAGGGAGATGGCACAGCTACACCAGAAATGGTGTAGCTGTGCCATCTCCTCCTGGCTGCAGAGGACAGAAGAAATGGACCATGCGATTAGAATTAATGCACGCAGTGGGCCAAGACAGAACACAGAATAATTCCTCCAAGTTTGTGGGCTAAAGAACTACGCGTGATACTATGGGGAAAGCATTTGTAAACCTGAAGGCTGCTTCAGTGTAGTTTGTGGTTATCTTTCAGTTAGGTTTTGTAGCTGGCTGACTTGGCAGCAGAGCACAAAAACCCAGCCCGCTGTAGTGTAGTTACCTGCTCCCAATTAGTGTGAGCTATCAAGCTTTTAATATCTTTCCTAAATCTTTCACAAAGATTAGCCCTTCACTTAAAGCATGCATTATAAAAAACATATTACTGATGTGCCAGAGATCTTTCAGGAAGTTTGAAATAGGTAACTGACAATCTTGCCAAGTAATGCCAAAAAAAAAATAAAGTTCTCAATTTACAAGCTACTTTGCTGCCTTTTAAGGCAAAAGCCACATTAGTATGCTCTTCAAAAAGCACAGTGAAACTTTTGGGTGAATAGGGAGTATAGCCTTAGGACTTCTGCACTGTCTCAATAGTTTTCCATTTCATTTCTTGCTTGCTTTCGTTGTCAACTTTCAAAATCATTAACCAACAGACCTGTTAAGAGACTGTTTCTGGTCTAGCTACTGACTAGGAAAACCTGAAGGGGGGCGGGGGGGGAGTGGGAGCAGGACACCCTCTCCACCCCCACTCCTCGACATTAAAAACAAACCAACCAACCCGAAATCTCCTATTCAGTGCCAATAGTCTGGGTTTAACTTTTAAAGAAAAGGGGTGTTATGGGCACTTGTAACTCCATTGCAGGTTTTAAAACACGTTTCAGTTCAGTCATGAAAGTTCTCTTGGTGAATTTAGTGCAGTGGAAGCATCTGCAAGCTGCTACTACATTCAACTAACTACAACACTTCAGAAATATTACCACTTCGGGAAAATTTCACACGTTTTACTTCTGGTTAAGTTCATTGAGTGATCTGAGAGAAACTTGAATCAGTAGGAAAATGTCTATTTGGCACCTGTAATTTGGCATGTCCATTCCTTGAAGTTCAAATGCTGTAATTCTGAATGCTACAGATTGTCTTGATACAGAAGTTGCTATAAAGCATGAGAAGGTAAACAATTCACCCATCGGAATTCCATTACTTTTTTTCTCCTCCGGTTTAAAGATTCTAGTTAGAATAATGAAAAAAGTGATCACTCTGAAGATTGCAGATCCCTTACTGAAAGGGCTCCCTTTAGCTTACCACCTTAGGATCTGTCTTTCGGACCAGGATGGTCAGAGCCATCTCCTTACTCAGAGTAGTCCACACATTTTGCACAGTCACCAAGTTCCACAAAACAATGTGTTCTTTGTACATTTGCACATTACTTTGTATACAGCAACACTAACTGCATCAAACTGTGGCAGACACATTTATTTCTAACAAAGTTTCTGTGGTTTGGTTCATAAGTGGAGGTTCTCCCATTTACTTGATGTCCAGCATCTCACACAAACACAAGTGCCCATGTTGGGGTCTGTTGACCAATCTTGGGTTTAAGGCACCCAAAAAGCATCTTGCTGTACAAATCCTGACCATCCATTATTGTAGTTCCCACCTCTGCTTCCCTTGCAAGTGCATCGCTTTATCGAAAGTGAAGTGGAAACAGATACAACTACTTAATGTTTAAAGTGTAAACCTCTGTAACCTATGGGACCTACTGTTTGTACTGTTTTGGGTGCAGCTAGTTAGCTGATACCACAGTCCTTCTGAGTAACATCAGCCTGTTACGGCTTCTTCTCTTATTGCACATTTTATCACTTCTGTTGTAAAAAATAACCAAAGATATTTCCTGTTGCTTTGATGTTATAAGCACTTGCGATAGTTTTAGATTGTTTTAAAATTTCCCAATAGACACGTCAAGAGGAACAAACTGCAAGTTCCCCGGTTGGTGTAAGAAGGCAGATTCCAGAGCAGGGAAGACTCCGAGGTACAGGTTCCCCTCTACATCTCTTAGTTTGAAGCTGCCTAAATATTATCTTAAATAATAAGTTCTATTATTTAAGTTAATGGGGTGCACCCAAGATCTATGTTCCCAAACTTCCTAGGGAACAGATTCAAATTTGTGAACTCCACCTCGAACCCAAGCGATGGAGGGCAAATTCCTGTCATGATCTTTGTCTGATTCGGGCTGGCTCTGGGCACGCTCTGGCTTGGGGTTCAAAGAAGGTGGGTCAGGTTGTTGTACAGACATAGTCCTGCGGAGATGGTTTCTCTTGCGCAAAAACTCAGGTTGGGAGTGGAGACCAAAGCTGCCTTTTCTCAAGATCATCCGAGAGTTGTTCTTTTTGGGTCGTGAATGGAGACTGAACTCCAGCGAGGCCAAGTGGGCTGCATAACCTTCACTGAGGAACTGAAATAGGAAGGAAAGAAAGGGAGTGACAAATTACTACTGCCTTGACCTGTGAGCTCTATGAGGAATTAAGTTCCTATCCTTGTCATCCCAGTTAGATACCTACAGAGTACTAATACTCCTCTCCCCTCACTTTTTTTTTTCAGTGACCTGTTCCATTTTGTCATTCAGCAGTATGCAATGTGTGCACTTGCAGATACAACCTATGACCACTTGATTCGTTTTACTTTACGAATTTACTTTTTTACTTTTTTTACTTTTACTTTTCACCCTGCCAGAAAATGCCTCATCTGAAACCAAAACGGCTCTTATTTCTCTGAAATGTTGTCTCTGCTCTTTATCTTTTGTGTGTGCATGTGTTTGTGCATGCATTCACACGCACACATTTCCTTGTTCCCCCCAGGACCTCCTGATCGAGTAACAAGAGTTACTTACTTGACACTGCGCTTGGTATTTCTTTGTTGATCGTCCAACTATGTAGATCTGGGATGGTGACAGAGCCAAGACATTGTACACAGAAATATCCTTCATGGAACCGTATGCAGCACAGATTTTGATGTGGCACTGAAACAAATATTACTTCCAAAGTGACCACTCTATTGGACACTGTGCACTACAAGGATGGCACTTATTTTGCAATGAAGCAGCAGATAAGTTGTTAACAACCTCATTCCGTAAACCACCAAGCTAAATCTGTCTGCCTGCATGCCAGCAAGAATTGCAGATATGCACACAGGAAATAATAAGCAGTTTATTTATTTGTCATGCCAGGAGGCCCCTCTGGATGTTTTATCAGCCTTCCTTGCTTTTTAAAAAGTGAGAAAAGAAATGAGCAATGGCAAAAAGACTTTGTGATTACCAGTGAGATTTATTGTTCAAAAGGAAGGGAGATCTCTAACTTCACTGAATGACATTCCCCAGAGAAAGGTTTTAAGGCTATAAATGTGTTTCTAGTACCTCTTGCACGAGATTCCGGAGAAAAATGGTCTTTTGTCGCAGTGGGTCATGAACAAGTCCATCTGAGAAGAAGATCATCCCTTGTGGGAAGTTGTGTTGAGACAACCATGAAACCACACGCTGTTTTTGCATATCTGGACGGCCAGTAATATAGATAATCAGATATCCCAGGTCCTGCCAATGCCTGTCAGAAACAGCAGGTAAATTATGTAGGTGCAGAAAGAGAAACAATGCCCGCAGGTCAGGCCAGCATTTCTTTGCTCAGCACAGACCCAGTTAGAAGTCAGACGTTATCCTTCAACAAGCGGGAAGCTACATGCCTAAGCCTCTGCTCCTGCTGAGAAATTAAGTAATAAAGTCTACATCTTGAGGGAGATCGAGGAAAGCAAAAGAGATTCTTATACATGTTACATAAAATATGAGTGCAATTTAAAATTGTATTTAGAACAGACCTTGCTACACATCAAGTCCTGCTACCTTTGAAACCTTTAACGAGATTTCCCAGCCACTTCAGCTCTAAGGAGTGGAAAACCTTGAAAACGTCACATCCCTCCATTTCCATGCAAGTTCCGAACTGAGAGGTGTATTTCCCTGTCCAGCATGACATTAACAGACTTGCAAGAATGGATTAAAAGGCCTTTTGATTTTTCCTCCAAAAAACACCCTTGCATTCATGGCGCTTGATATTTCTGAAGTAGACATATGTCCTTATTTGAAGTTAGCGAAACACAAAATGCACTCTTTGCTAATCACAGTAACACATGGAATCACTATTAACCCCCTGGACACACCTTAAGGCCATATTCCCAAGAAGCAAATTTTAATCTTTAGGCAACTTAAACTACAAATTCAAAGTAAACCATAGCATTCTAAGATTCCTCTGAAAATCAGGCAGACCTGATGTCCAAGCAAATGCAGAAATATATCTGCAAAGAATCCTGGCCTTTAAAGAACTGTTGTTTATTTAGTTAAAAAACCCTATTCTGCCCTCCTTCTTCCTATTGTATTCAAACAGGAAAGTCAGAGATTTAAAAAGGGAAGTGTGCAAACCTGACCTACCTGACCACATCAACAGCCCCAGCTCGGACTTTGGGGTCACTTCCCATAATTGAAACACTTGCTGCAAACGAACCATCAATGCTGAACACAACGCATTCCATCCCTCGGGGAAGCACAGTCAGGTAACTTGCAGCACTGCTCTGGTCTCCTCTGGAGAGTCAAAGCAATAAATGCATTTAAAAAGCAAAATATCAGAATGTGTTTTCTGTGCATTCTAGTTAAGACCTGAAATTGGATCTGTCTGGATCTACAGCTTCAAAAATTGCTGTCAAATAGGGCTTCTGATTTCAGTCCTATGTGGGGCAATTAAACCTAGACTTTTAGGAAATAGCTTTCCAAAGAGAAATTTGGAAGCTGACTTTAATAAGAAGTGACATTTGTATGAATACCTAAAAGAATTAGGAAAAAAACCCAAACCAGCCTCAAGTACTCAAACTACTACTCAGACATGTTCTCTGTCTATATATGTGTACACATATGTCTATTTACGTACACGTATAAGACATGAATGCTATTTAGTGCACACACACACATACATACACACATAGCACACAGAAATGAGTTATTTTTTTTTACTGGCAAATTATTAGAAATTTGAATTCTAGAAATAGGAAAAAATCGATATACACCTTTTATTGGCACATACTTACACAAATCACCTTTTCTGCATGAGATGAACAGTTGGCAATACTAGCATTACTCATCCCTCTATCCTTGCAAATTACAATGGGAATGCCAATCCAGAAAAGTAAAAAAAACACACACACACCCCCAAAACCAAAAAAACCCAAGCCCACCCCAAACCAAACCTAATCCATAAGAGAAATGCAATCATAGATGGCTTCTCTCATGCAAAGGCATGTGCACTACATTCTTCTCCTCATTATGTATTTTCCCCAAGAGGTCTGGACATTAAGACACTAATAAAGCACAAAGCAATCCAAAGCTCTTACCATCCTATGGCCTCATGCTCCCTAAAAAAAAAAGTACTCTCAGGACCACATCTTCTTTCCTTTAGAAAGATGATTACTGTAGGATCTAGAAATTTGTATCTGGTCATGAAGATGCTGACAATATGTGTGCACAGCTTAATGAGCAAAGGCAGGACAATTTCTTTCACTCCTGTTCGACACTTACTCCTGCAGTCTAAAAGCCCATGGGAGCTTAACTTCTGAACACACCTTCATTAGTCTTTAAGTAACTCTCTTTTCTTGTATTGATTGTCTGTCCCATTACACAGAGGTAAAACATTTCTTCCTCTATTGTAAATTGACTTTGGACTTGGTTAACTGGTGTGTAACAACACATTCTGTTTCAGCTAAGTTCATCCAACTGATTTAGCCTCCAAAGTAAGGATTCAAAGGAAGCTGGTAAAGCTAATTCCTAAGTCTGTAAGCAATTTAATTCTACATGCAGTATTAAACTAAACCTCTGTATTAAATCAAACTGGACTTTTATTAAACATAAGATTTTTTTAAAAGCACAGCTGCCCCCATCCTGCACTTAGGACAACAAATTTCATTTCATACATATTCATTCTCCATGCTTTATTTCAAATAGATATTTTTAAGAAATGCTGGGGAGCTAGGAGAGCTGACTGATTTTACTTCAATGAATTGTTATTTTCAGGTGCTGTTCTTTTTTTTTCCCTTTTCTTTTTCCCAGTTTAGAATAAGCATAGTCTTGAGTGCAGAATTAAGGTTAACTATTTTGATCAGCTTGACATCAACAGATAAACAGGTGGCTGAAAGCAAGGCAATACATCTTCTACTCTTAATTTCCATAAGCAAAGCTTCTCATCAGTCTGAATGACACAAAGCTATACACCCTTCAGCAGTCTTTTCCCCAATGAACAGACTGCACAATACCCCAAGTCATACATTCTTGCCACAAGAAGACTGATTACAGTCATCCAATCCCCATACTTTGCAAGACCAAGTGCTCCTAAATTGAATTGCACTGAGGATTTGTGTTGTGGTAGAAATAAACCCATTGGCCTGGGCCCCTCCAAACTGGCCAGTAAACAGATGATCACTGCCTCAAATCTAAGCTGACAACACAGTGACAAGACCAAGAAAAGATAACAAACTGACCAAAATCTCCCTCCGCACCCCCCTTCAAGCTTGCACATGTCGGTGCCTGCCTGATCACAACAACCCATCACAGCTGTAGTTCCAGCTTGGAGCTATTACCTGACCACCATTTTGATGGGATACACACCAACTCTCAGCCTCTTCTGTTTGGGTATGTTGTAGGATATCCGGCCACTGCTGTTGGATATCTCTGTGTCAAAGTACACCCACCTACCCGAAGATGGCTCGGTCATTACGAAGATATCAACCTGCAAAACCAACAAAACAGTCATCTGCTGTGGTAGCAGGCAACACACCCGCTACGTGCAAGGCCTGCTGAGCCCAGGTCACATTAGTAGTATCTCCAATTATGGCTTGTACTAAAGGCTTATGAGGAAGCTTGAAGGAACTTCAAAACTCAGTAAAAATTTCAGAGGGGGTCCTCTCAATTAGAAAACACTTCCTAACACACAGTACACGAGTTCATTGCCTTCATCATTTAAAGCTAGCACTGCAGGTGTCAAACAAGGGTATAGAGCTCAGAAATTCGGCAGGAACCCTAAGCTAGACAAAAGATCATTTCAGCTTGCAGTACATTACATTTTTGCACGCTAAACCTACAAAATGGAAAATTTCATCCGGTTATTAGCAAAACAAAATCTTTCTCAAATCGTAACCTTGCCTACAAATACAAAACCTAAACACTTCAAATTACCAATGTTTTTTTCCAAAAGGTGTCATCAATATGGTTTCCTTCAACTGAAATATTTCATCAAAATTAACATAAAGTGTATAAAATACTTTGACTTGAACTGGCACTTTTTAGCAATAAGTACCTCGGTAAATCTGAGGGAGGAATCTGCAAAGCTTTCCTCATGTACTCAATTTTTACAGAACTCAGGCACACAAGGTTTATGTGGACTTCTTCAGCGCTCAACATGCAGCCAGATACTCTACAAGACTGGCCAGCAGCTTATGAGATCCTTGATAAGTCTGCAGATAGGGTCTTCTTAGACATAATGATGTTACATGACATTGGGATCTCACTATAAATAACACTGAATTTATTCTGACTGATGAAATTCAGAACTGAATCTTTCTGAAGGATAAGCTTTGGTGCAAAGGAAGAAATTACAGGTATTGCTGAACCAGAAGTGTTATCAGGATCAAACAATGGGTTTACTCCTTTCTTTTGCTTTTTGACTGCAGAGTGAATCCACAGTTTGAATACAGATGGGCACCAACTGCCTCTTTGAAGTCTTGGATGGTATAAGTAGGAGAAAGCTTCACTTTGTACCCTGATTCTGAATTTCCAACTTTCAAATGCACCATTAATGGAGAGAGGGCCAAGGAAAACATTTTTATGATGTTAGGGGAAAAATCTAACTTCCTTCCAACACGCAAAGGAATACAAGACCTCACCAGGAACAGAATTTTTTTCTTTCAAGAATCATACTTCTAACTTTGTTTTATTCAGCCATTCTGTTCTTACCTTCTATTCTTCCCCTTTAATAAATTTTCTCAAGTCAAGCAGGGTGTGTGTGTGTATATGTGTGGTTCAGAAAAGTAGTTTTTAAGTTTGCATTGGGCATTCTGAAAAATCTGCACACCTACAGTCCTTTCAGATCAACTTTTTCCTTTTTCAGTATCAATATGAAAGCTACTAGAACACCATTCTGCCGACTGTGGTCATTGAACTGTTCTGGCTCAGTTTTCCCCTCTCCACATCAAGAGATTATGAAATACAGCCTTTTACGTAAAGTTAATTGGGATCCTTGGAGAGACAACATACAAGTGTAAAAAAAAAAATACAGATAGTATTTCTATTGGTCTTGAAACCCCTCAAAATTAGAATGAAAACTATCAGCAATTCATCACTGAGCATGGAACTTTCCCCAGAGCAATAGTTGGTAACAATATTAACATTTTTACTTAGCAATTTCTTTCAAGAGGTGTTAATGACAGGATTCTATTCAATACCCAAGCAGAATATGAATCTGTTTTACCACTGCAGTAACATGGCTTATTGTTCATCCCTGTCCTTCTGAAATGGGAACATGACTTCAAGGCAACCAGCCAGCACACAATAATCTACGCGGGGAGGAAAAACATTAGACTATAATGCCAAAAAAATAACGGGTTAAGTAAATCCCAGCTCTGGCCTCAGGAAAAGTACTGAAATGCTGAAATGTATCTTCAACCTAGTTTGCATCTGCACACTAGAACACTGAACACGTTGCCTTTTTTACCATCCCTAATTCATCTCAGTAAAAGACCCAGGGCTAAAAATGAATCCAGTCTACAAACCTGTAGAAACCCCAACACGCCCATTTTAGGAATTCTTGGGAAAACAAGGTTAGTCTCCAGGACTGATCCTTGCTTCAGTAAAAACTGGTAAGCCTGGCCTACCTCAGGTTAATTAACATTTTCTAAAAGGTCAACAGACTGAGGCTGAGATTACCTAGGAGGCCAGTCCCATGACAGCATGAGAGGGTATGACTGGCAGAGACTCTCCGAGAAGCTTAAGCTTCTGTCTCCTTGTCTTGGCCAGGTGGCCTCATCCCCGTTATCGCTACTGTGTTGGCACAACAGGAGCCACCCAAAGCAGATGACGATCACAGAAATTTCCTGCCTGCTGAGGATAGCACCGTGATGTGACAGAGCAGATCAGGCTCTCCTGTCATACGCAAGCTAACACCTCACAGTCTGCTCAGGTCTGCAGGCCACACTGCTAATTGACATAAATGCTTCCCCCACTCTAATTCCCACTAGGGAAGGTGGGAGAGGGATGGTTTTTCCTTTGACAGATTCAACGGTCTTGTGGTAAAAAGGTTTTCTTCTAATTCCTGCACTGTACCAGTTACAAGAGTGTTCAACTTTTGACTTGAGGCATTGCTAGGATATAGGCACAAATAATGAATACACACACATCTTTGCATACACATCTTCCTGACTGTAGATCTAACTGAAGACCTTCACAATGCAATCCAATACACTCAGACACATTTAACTGGCGCTTTGAACTTACATTGGAGAAATGGCACAAAGAGGAAATTATTAAGTCAATTTTGGTGTTCTTCATAGGACCACTATGAACCCCTTTGGTGCCCTATTCTGTGCCAGAAGAACCTTATCAATGAATAAAATGGGATCAGATTGAAGAAATTTACAAAAGCAAATAAAGAGCTGTCATTATAATCCTAAAAATCAGACAAAATCTGTGATCCTGGCATGTAAACTCAAATGATGGGCCTGCTTTAAGTTTATGTGGGTCAAGACTGAAGCAGTGATGGTCTTAAAAATATACCCATAGCATATATTGACAGTTCAACGTGTATCAGCACAAGGCATGTTGAATTCTATGGCAGAATCTTAGAAGCAGCACATCACTTATGTCTTGTGGAGCTGACTAACAAAGCCCAGCCATGACAGAAGCATGGTCATTAGAGACGTGGTTCCAGGAACATCCATCCCTGCCATTTGCACTAGCAAATATGCTCCAAACAAGGCATGCCGTCAGCAGGCTGATCCCTCCCTAGAGGGATCTTAGCAGTGTGGGCACCCACAAAACAGACCAAGTGAAGCCTCCACGCTTCAGTTTTACCCTCAGCTCACCAGCATTGCTTTGTTAATTTCCACAAAAATTCTTACAGTCTCAGTGAATATGAATCAATATGTTCACCTAATGCTTGGCTTTGGTAGCTGTAAGCCTGGCTATTGCAGGCAGCTTTAGGAGTGACAGTTCCAATCATGTCACATTACTACTGAAATTCTAAAACTAATCTTTACTCTTCTACCTCGAGGAGAAACAGCAACCACCTAGCCTCTAGAATCCCTATTCCTTTATCTAGTTGTCCTACCTGGATAGGAGGATATACATTTTTCTTTTAGTGATTTGCCAACCACTGTAAAATTCTTCTTCCTCCTTGCTCAAAAAGTTAATTGTCTCCAGTAGGTGGTACAATTGGATGGCAGGTTCAGAAATCACTGCGCAGCACACTCATCATTAACCAGACGAGATGGCCAGCATCATGTAAGAAGGTTGAGAGCTGGGAAAAAAGTCAGCTATCAGGAAAGCCCACTTACAGCTTATTTTTGCCAAAGTGGTGGGGGCTAGTGACATACTTCCCCTCACTGAAGGGCTTTCTCTGGTACTATACGTGTGCTACATTCAACAACTGTTTCTAGTAAAAGCTGGTTCAGAAAAATAAGGAAATTGATTAGTCAGACTTTACCTTTTCACCTGTTAAAGCCACCATGTCCAGAGGTCCATACATAAAGCGCCCAACTAGTACCTGAGGACCATCTTCTGCAGCAATGACGTCATTAGCTCGGTGATTAGCAGTCACATTCTGAAATAAGAGCAGAAGGTGGGAAGGATAGTATTTGCTTTTGTAATGAGGCTACTGTCTTGTCCTAGTTTCGGCTGGGATAGAGTTAATTTTCTTCCTAGTAGCTGGCCCAGCGCTGGGGCTTGGGTTTAGGATGGGAAGAATGTTGGTAACCCCCTGATGGCTCAGTTGGTGCTGAGCAGGGCTTACACCAGGCAGGGACTTCTCAGCTTCCCCTGCTCTGCCAGGGGCACAGGGAGCCAGGAGGGGGCACGGCCAGGCCAGCCGACCCCAACTGGCCCCAGGGCTATTCCAGGCCATACGATGTCACGCTCCTGGGGAGCTGGCTGGGGGAAGAGAGATCGCTGCTCAGGACGGACTGGGCATCAGTCAGGAGGTGGTGAGCAACTGCATTGTGCATCACTTGTTCTGTGTATTCTCTATAGTCTACTATCATTGCTGCTGTTGTGTGTTCAGCTGCCTGCCGGGTTAAACCAAAACATGTTTCTATTATGTTTTTATTAACAGTGACACAGAAACACAGTCCTGGACAGCGTGTCCAAGGTACATCACAGTGCACCTTAGAGCACCTTGCAAAACTGCATTCCTATTTTAGCTGGAGCGAGGTTTCCAATAATGGTAGGTTCCCAAATAGACTCTCTAGTGAGAGCACTCAAGATGACCAAGTAAGACAGAACATTTAAGGGAATGCCAATTATCTTTCACTTCAAGTGGTGCCATATATTCACACAATTATGTGCAAGACACACACGTCCTAATTGACACTTCTAACTGAAGTGGCATCTGAAGAGTGTATTTTTTTTTTCTTGTTATGGATTCATCTAGCATATAAGAAAACAGAACAACCCTCTTTGCTTAATTGAAACTTAAGGCCCCTCTGTTATTTAAAGGAAGAAATATACTTTCTCCCAACATGTAATGGTAAACCAAGACTAAATTGTTCCCATTCCCTAACTGTTAAGTTGTTTGCCTCTTGATTACATTGGCAGTTTTCAGCTCTTTAGTAATAATCAGTTTGTAAACTCATGCTTTAGGAGACCAAACTCCATTTGAAATACTGAGAAAACCAAGTTCTATAGCTGCCACAGATATTCAGATTTGCACTTACTCTCAATTTGACATGTGTTCTTTTGCGTAGCCATTTTTCTCGTGGATTGGACTGACTTAGTGTTGCTGGATCCAGATTGTCATTTTCCTTGAAATTTACATTTTCATACCTCATCACCTGAAATTATATTAATATTTTAATAAACAGTGTGTGACCTGAGGAGTCCTGGTACTTGGCAAAGGAAGGGGAAGTACACTGCTGCCCCACCTGAATGACACTGCAGAGTCAAAAGCACAATGACAGTAAAAAGAGCTACAGGCCATATATTCACATTAACTGCATAGAAAAATAAACAGCTTTCACTGTTGGCCAACAGTTAATCTCAAGTACTTATTGAACAGCTTTTTCATGCACAACAGAGCTTGCACATTCTTCCAGGGAAAATGGTGCAAACATTAGGGTGGTATCAAGTGACAGTCACATTGTCTGCTCACAGTCTGCAAAGTCAGCAAAGCAACTTAAGACCACAAAAGTATTTTTACATGTCCTTTATGGGGCACAGGTCAAATTCCTGACTCCACCTGTACTGGTTTTCTATACATATACTCCGACAGAATGGTTCGTATCACCTTTTGGACACTACTCACCACCGCAGTAGGTGACAGGCTCAGGATTTGGCTTGTGGCTAGGAACATCTGAAGATAAGAGGACTATAACTTGTCAACATGCAGAACCATAGTATGTCATACAAGCTACATGTTCTTACAACCTAAATATCACACACTTACCAAGAAACCTGCATCTCCAACTCAGATTTCAAGACACAACCCACAGATTTCAGAATCTGTGGGTTATGCCCTGTTTCAATTGAAACCACAAGCCCTGTCTTACCGAAATCTGTGGGTTGCACCCTGGGATCATGGTTAGTGTGAAGCTACTTCATTCTGAATGAGAAATAGCTTTGTCTCTTTCACAAGCTAGCAGAAAATCACTCAAGTTGACCAGTTGGTTTTCTGTGCTGAAGTTTTCCGCCCTGGGTGCCCTCTCTGGAAGAGTGGCCTAGAATCCCTTCGAAAGCCATCTTATATGAAGTCCCTTAAGTAAAATCCCGCTGCGTTCAGCCTTAGCAAAGCAGTTGGCTTGCAACAAATCATGGCCATACTGCGAGGTCAGTGTGGTTTTTAACAAAGTGGCATAAATTATATTCACCAGAGGTCACGTGCAGGAAACACGTCCCCACAGGGCATTCAAGAACCATTAGCCTTAAACTTAAACCCCAGCAAGGGCCAAACATCCAGACTGTGCTGGAACTAACCAGTTCTTTACGTAGTGCTGTAAGCTCGCATATTGCTTTATAGGCATGTTCCAAATGCTTATTAAATTCCAAAAGCTGTAATGCACATACAAGGGTAGATAAGACACGACAATGCAACTTGATATGAATATGCAGAGGTAGCAAGTAGAAAAAAGCAAGAATGATTGCCAACAGACAAGTGGGCTCAGGGAGGCATTTGAAAGGGAAGATGGGAGAATGTTCTGATGGATTCAAGGCAAAAAAACATCGCGCAAGAGATGATCAGCTGACAAGAGCTGTAAGATTGCTGCAAAGGAGAGGAGAAATGTTTATGTACAATTATCTAGGGCCCTTGAACAGAAGAAAACAGGGATTTTCATCCTGCCACTTCAGTAAAAACCTCTCCTCTACTTTCGGACGATCATCAAATAAGACTCCTGTTCCGGAGACTTCTTGTTCACCAAAAAACTCTTCAGCAACTTTTGCTTTGCCTTGATCGTGGTGACACTAGTTACAAACAAAGTTTTAAAATTAGCTTTTAGAATTCTGCACTGCTTAATGATACATTTTGACTGGAATCACATATACTAAAGGATGCTCTGAAAGGACAGGAAGAGGTTGAAGGACTCAGAATGTCATCAATTAAAAACAGCCACCCAAAACTCCAGCAGTGGTCTGGTTACCAGCCAGACTGGCTACTGCCCCCTCCGCTCGCGGATTGCCACATGAAGACGGGGGCTCGGTACAACTGCACGGAATGACTCGGCAGGAATTCTGGACTGGAGGGAACTCAGGCACTGAGCTTCCGACCCCAGGAGCTAGCAGGTGAGCCTCCAGGGAACTAACAGCATTGACACCGGCACTGTGAGCGTGAGGTGGAGGGAGGTACCATTCCAAGACCAGCTCAAAGGAGTTGCAAGAGAGGCAGGCAGACACCTGCCAAACCGATCCAATGAAAAAAGGTCGGTGAAGTTTTCTGCACTCTTCTCTCTACAGTTTGCCTGGCAGCAGCTGTTTCATCACTCACTGGATGTAAAAGCCACACTGACTCTCGGGTTAATCCAAATTAAACTGCTTGCTGCTGGCTTTTGGGTGAGGGTCACGCATCCTGCAGCTTTCACTTGAACACCACTTAATCTTGCTTTTTTAACCCAGGTGAGATTTCTCTGCCTCACCACTTTCTTTAGAGGTCAGAGCACTGCATTATCCCTAAGTCACAGCAAGCTGCTAACTATTGACACAGTAGGAACAAGGGACCCATTTGGAGCGTGTCCAGAGAAGGGCAGGGGAGCTGGGTCTGGAGCCCCAGGCTGCTGGGGAGTGGCTGGGGGAGCTGGGGGGGTTCAGCCTGGAGCAGAGGAGGCTGAGGGGAGCCCTCATCGCTCCCTACAACTGCCTGAGGGGGGAGCTGGGGGGGTCAGGCTCTGCTCCCAGGGAACTGGTGATGGGACGAGGGGCAACGGCCTCAAGTTGTGCCAGGGGAGGTTGGACATTGGGAAAAATTCCTTCCCCAAATGGACTGTCAGGCATTGGAAGGGGCTGCCCAGGGAAGGGGTCAAGTCCCCATCTCTGGGGGGATTTAAAAGATGGGCAAATTAGGTGCTTAGGGACAGGGTAGAGTGGTGGGCAGGTATGGTTGGAGTCAATGATCTTTAAAGTCTTTTCCAACCAAAAGATTCTATGATTATATGACTCAGAAATAAATTCTGAGGTGATAGTGCACACAATGCTTCAAAATACTCTAGTATAGTTACAGGAGAGACTTGATTTTTTTTATGGAAGCAGCACTTTCAAACTGATGGTTTACTAGCAAATACATGCTAATAATTTGATATTTAGTAGGTAAATACTTAAGTGTCCTGGTTTCGGCTGGGGTAGAGTTAATTTTCTTCCTAGTAGCTGGCCCAGCGCTGGGGCTTGGGTTTAGGATGGGAAGAATGTTGGTAACCCCCTGATGGCTCAGTTGGTGCTGAGCAGGACTTACACCAGGCAGGCACTTCTCAGCTTCCCCTGCTCTGCCAGGGGCACAAGGAGCCGGGAGGGGGCACGGCCAGGACAGCCAACCCCAACTGGCCCCAGGGCTATTCCAGATCATATGGTGTCATGCTCATATAGTATGGAGGGAGTTGGCCGGGGGACAGCGACCGCTGCTTAGGGACAGGCTGGGCATCGGCCGGTATATGTTCTGCATATTCACTTACTGTTGTTGTAATTATTATTCCTTTCCTCTGCTGCTTTATTAAACTGTCTTTATTTCAACCCGTGGGTTTTACTTTTTTTTTTTCTGATTCTCTTCCCCACCCGACTGGGGAGCGAGGGAGTGAGCGAGTGGCTGTGTGGTGTTCAGCTGCCTGCCAGGTTAAACCACAACATTAAGTAAGGCTGGAGATAGCCTATTCCTTCAAAACCAGGAAATTAATACATAATACAGGGTTATACTGGTCTGGGGCATGGGAAGGGTGAGTAAGGTATGCGTGACAACATGTTGTTCCCAGTCACACAGTCAGCAGTAAGAACACCAGCCAGCTGTACTAATGGTAGGCTCACGGCCCCCTTCACCTCTCCAATAAATCCACATCAGTCATTCCTACATCCAGTTGTATGTGATGCAACCACAGTTAGCCATGTAACTGAACTAACGATTAAAAGACTGATAGCCCTTGGAAGATGCAATCAACAATCACAAGGTTATTCGTTGCAGAGAAAAAAATGCAGAGGTCGATAACCTGTCTTAAAATGAAGGCCACAACGTCTGTTGATTCCCAGTAGCTGGCATGGAAGAGATGCGGCAGGGCCACAGTTGGAAAGGCTGTCAGCACATCTGGACAGTACAAGGCATAATCTATTCGTTTTGTTCCCCACCACTTTGCAGTAACTACAAAAAACCAAACAAAATAGATCACATTTCTGTAAGAGATCTTCTTAACAGAGCTCATGCTGTCTTTATGTTTAAGCTAGATAATTGAATGAAGTTTTCTGCTTTTTAATCTTGACATTTAGAGTCTGTTAAAGGTATCTATCAAACACAAAAGCACTGTTTTCACTGGCTGCATCATCACTTAAATGCTTGCAATCTAAACAGTTCTATTTGGTCCAAGTTTTGGGAAGCAGAAAGCATCTCAGTATGATTCCCACTGCTTCCTGGTCTACGGAAAATGTACAGTGGAAGACCAGTACTTTTATAATCATGTTATAGAGCAGGAATTGCAAATGCTTCCCAAATAGTGAACGGAATATTGATGTATGACTACAGTCCATAATGGGACAATATAATGATCTATAGCACTTTTAATTATGGGCAACAAATCTTAGCTATCTGTACTTCTTCATGCCTGGAACATGCTTCTAAGCCCCTGTTAGTATGACACCCTTAATGACTATATATGAGTGGCACCTTAATATAAAACTGTGACTTCACTTTATTACTTTATCTACTTAGTTACCAACAGAAGAGGAAGCTAAATTGCATTGTTTAAAATTGCAGCAACTTAGGCTTTCTCATTCTCCCCACATTTCTGAGCAGGTAATTTTTCTTTTCATAACGAACTTTTCCACAGGAAGGACGTGGAGGGCAGGGTTGCCACCGTATCAGACAGCACACGGCAGCAGGCTGCACTCACTGTTGGTGAGGTATGCTGATGGCAAGCTTTCTGTCGACCCTGAGTTTTCACTGTTTGTGCTGGCCAAGCTCAACTTTCTTGTTTTCCCTTGTGGTTGATCAGATGCGTGTGGAGACTGAGGTCTCTCCTGAGAGAAAGGCATGTTCAAAGAGCTGTTCTCAAGGAAGAGAGCACTGTGGTTGTGGATAGCATCACCTGCAGGTTACAGAAATGAAAATAAAAAAAAAACCCAATGGGATGAACACCATGGCTTTGAAACTATTCTGTGTGTGTGTGTGCGCGCATTTTTTCATTTATTTTTTTTTAGCATAGCGCTAACGAGTGTTTTTCTGAATAAAATACCGGATTTACCGACCATGGATGAAACTCCCTTCAGAGTGAGGAGGACAGCATGACTAAATGGAGAAAGCACAGCCTGCTGCCATCAAAATGCAATGGCAGCTGGGTGCTTTTGGCCGAGACCTTCCAAATCAGGTAGTGATGTTGAGGGGCTATTTTACTTCACACTCAAGCCGGTCCATTTTGAAGTCATTCTGTGAGAAAAGCTACACAGCTCTGAGCATTTGTGATAATTCTCTTGTCCATTAAATGAAAAGGAATAGCAGCATAGCTCCCTACAATCTCCTCCCCTCTGAACAGCAGACATGGCTAGAAAGATTCCAGCTTGTTTTGACATAAGCCTGAATATCACAACTGCACGAAACAACACAAGGAGCTGCCCTGCAACTGAATCAGAGAAACAATTAAATTCTAACACTTCATAATGTGTATTTAGTTTGTAGTTTCCATGGGAACATATGCTTTGAAGTTCATTAAGGAAACTGCAATGTACTTTTCTTTCAAAGAAATCTTGTTGATGCCATAGAGTGGGGAAAGCTATGTGTGGCTATAGGAAAGCTTGATGGAGGTGAAAAGAATGGAAGGATAATTCTATTACTTCCCTTGTCTCAGGCAAACGATATAGACTCCAACACAGACAAATGAAAAGAAAACACAATGCTGCTTTCCTATTACTTACCTCAAAAACTGACGAAGTATTATATACTGTTGGTAGTGAAAGAAGCAGTACAGAGAAGTAAAAGGTCTTCTTCTATGTCATACTAAATACTGAACAGCAAGACACCTGGTCCTTCTGACAACAAAACCCAAATCATGTGGCCTAAAATACCACAGCAAATCAGTTCACTGAAGAGAGCAGCAGAATCCACGGGCTATGCAGTAAGGAACAGGGAAGCTGCCAAATTGCACCCCATTAGGGGTCCAGCTGAACCAGAACCCTGATGCAAACATGGACCAACAGGAAATGCCACAGGAGAAGGTGCGATGAGTCCCATAAATGAGAGCTGTGTCTCCATGAAGTGCTCATGACCGGCAGTGTTCTGATGCATACCTTCTGCTTCCCCTTCCAAAAGATTCACCAAAGTAAAAAACGTTGTGCTTTTAAAATACATTTTCTGCTTCTGAATTGTTGTTGCTCTGCTGAAACAGTCGTAAATTGACCCTAATCTAATCCTTCCTCCCCCATTATAATTCTGCAAGAGTTTTGGTTTTTCATTCCCACTAAAATAGAGATAGAGAGAGAAGTAAAACCAGGAACTTTGTACTGAATGGAAAACATGTTGTCAGCCAAGGTATCTGTTGGCCTTTTCCATATTATTGACTAGCTGAAGACCAGCTTGGTAAGGGGTCTGGTGTCCCAGAACCGGTTGTTTGTTTTGTAATACTGTTGTTCTAAGCTCAGTAACCCCCCTCCCTATGAAGAGATCAAATCAATAAAACGGAAGGCATTTTGGCAGTTTTTTCTCTTCTGTTTCCTGAATTATCTTTATTTAGACAGGTAGGGCAGCCTGCCTTCATCTCTGCAGTCCAGGTCTTTGGTGCATTTGTAAAGGAGGACAGAGAGTACTGGTTAGAGATCAATAAAGTACATACGATACTATTTTTTTTCTAAAAGCCCCGTGCTCAACTTTAGACTAGGACAGTCCACTTGCATAATTCTTCTATTTAAATAACTGAAACAGATACTTCCCACCCAAAACAACCTTTCTCATGGCTCTGAGGGTCACTAAAGGTTCTAATTCTTTATCCTACTAATCTAAATTTACTATCATGCTTGATAAGAAATAGAATAAAGCAGGTCATTTTAAAGAGTCTCATCTTGGATAATTGTGATAGTTACAGCCAGCACAAAGAGGCAAAGCAACTTCCTCAAGGCCATACAGTAACCATCTCCAGACAAAATTAACAATACTTTATTTTATGCATATACAACTGGAGAAGTACTGCGCTTCTAGTCCTTGATTTCTATCTGTCCATAATGAAGCAGACCAGTTGGATCAGCCATAATCTGGACTGGCACTCCTGCACATTCCCTGTCAATAAAATTTTGCAAGAGAAAAATTTTGCAATTATTTCAGTTGTGCTGCAAAGTAAAATGTGAGGTAGAAGCTGAAGCAGTAAAGAGGATTATGATTATCTACATTCTGCTATCTCAAATGTCTAAAACATAGGATAGGTTGAACCCAGGTGTTTTGAATTAATACACAACAATATTTTTAACCCCCACATAGATAAAAACGCATAATGCCACGCAAAGCAAAACAAGGAATTAAATCCCCCACGTTATTAAGCGTCAAAAGACATGGCTGGTGGTAAATCAGAGACCTGTTACAAAGCTAAGGCTCACTTGTAGTAGCTACAAAAGCACTTTGATGATGAATTGCCAATCAGGCAGCAGCTGAGAAAGCCGTTGTTTAATGACAGGTCAAGACAGCATGGCTTCCTCTGGGCTGTAACATGACCTGAACTTTGTACCTTGCCCTTATGGTAAAAAATCCCCACCCATAACTAAATCACATTTTTGTCTGAACCATTATCTACTGCTAAGTCTTCTGCCAGCAATCACCACAGACGAGAGCTTACACAGATACAGGCTTGCTCCACCTGCTCTGGCAGTGGTTTGCATGCTGTTTCTTTTGCTTTCACTTGTCTGTACATCACAGCAACAGGAGGTAAATACCCCTTAAGAGGTGACTCCTGAAAAGCGGAATGCCTTATGTGTTTATTTCCACTCTACCAGTGCATAGGTTGAACATATCTCAGATATTCAACTTAATCATTGCTAATTTTTCTTTCTGTGTTGACTCTCCTATACATTCAGAAAACTGAATTTAAATCATGCCTCAAATAATTTTATTTTATTAAGCTGTTTTATCAATAACCTACTAATGTCATCACATCCACATGAGGAGTTGTATGAACAGAAGGTACAGCTGCAACCGACCAAGTAATTGACAGAAACAGGAATAATTCTCTGGGCAGTCAAGTCTCTCTGACTGTCAAAATCAAGAGTCAGCTTTCATCGTCATTAAGCTCTTAACAGATCAATCCATCACACACACAAACAATGCCACATTAATACAAACTGAATGACCCTGGGGGCAGACTTAGTGATAAGTATCGATGCCTGCTGGATGCAGAAGGCAATCATCTTGATAAACATGTGCCCTGCTCTTTAAGTCCTGCCATTTAAGTCTTAGACGTTTCCTGAATCTCAGTGGAAAAAGTAAATTTGATAAACTTAAAAGCGTCAAGATAAACCCTATGCACAGAGCAGCTGGCTCCAAGAGCTTCACTTGATTGGCAAGAACTGAAAGGCAGCTACAGAAACTCCCCTCCCCCAGTTTTCTTCGTGTTCTCCAGTTTATGTTAATCACTGAACTGTTCCTATGAATCACATGGTGAAACTCTCTCCTAGTAGTAAATCTTTTTCATGAGACTTCGAGATCATAATTTTTTTCCACAGAGGCACCTACCAGAAATGTCAGGCAGAAAGAGTCATTCTCATTTTAATCATCACTTCTTACAAGAAAAGGAACAGTGAAAGAGATTGTTTGATGACATGAAAGACTATCAGAAAAGGTTGTTTTGGGCAGTGCGTAATAATTAGTTTGGTGTAACTAGGTCTCATCATAACTACTGTTTCAGCTGACACCAGGAAGGCTCTCATTTTAAGAAATACTTCTACAAGCCCAGGTATCAGAGAAAGGAAAAACATTATACAGTCACTAGAATTAATCCTTTGTGAATGAAGATCCTTGAATTCCAAAAGGATCTCAAAACACGTGTATTTAAACGGGAGGATTTCACATTCATTGAAATATAACATGGCTTAGGTGTGAAGCACAGCAATGGTTTAACTCTGCACAGAGATTTAAATACAAAACCATACCATGGAACATTTGCTGATCAGTAGCACTCAGGAATTTTCATTTTATAACACATCCAACAGACAAGGTTTCCTGATTCACAGGCTTTGTAGGGGAATCTTCTGACCCCGTGCCTTAGATGAACTATGAAAGAATACCAGTTGTTCCAAATAATTTACAAAGTCTCTGCTTCACGAATCACTGTATCTGAAGGGTTTACTTTAACACAACGAACCTGGTACAATGTACCAACACAAGGTTTTCAATCTGAAAAGCATCCTAAGGGAGGTATTCTTCCTATGACGGTTATTTAAAGGAGGGTTCAACTTTTCAAGGTAGCCTTAGATATGTCTGAGTGACGGAATTTGTGCCTAACTAACCAGCAGGGTTTCCAAGTGCACAGTCAGGCTGTACAACTCCAAGTCAGAATGCAAAGGAGGATATATTTCCATTGAAAGAAAACTCAGACACACAGTTGAGGACAGAGCACATAGTCCCTTGTTCGGACTGTTCCTCACCTTAGATATTCCTTAAGTCAATTCCTGAGGAATAGCCAGGTCTTCATATGTTTCAGTGAAGCCAACACCTACCAAACCAACCTTCTGCAACTCAAGATCAACTGTTGCTTTTCAAACACTGATTTAATCTGGTTCAAATTGATTTGCAACCAATGTACACTGTATCTGAGCAGATAAAACAAAGGAGGTATAGAATCATTTATAGAGTGTTTTGGGTTGGAAGGGACCTTTAGAGGCCATCTAGCCCAACCCCCCTGCAGTGAGCAGGGACATCTTTAACCAGATCAGGGAGTTGTGTGTACCCTACTGCACAGAACAGGTTCCCAACGATACAATTCTTTTAGCTCCAACAAAGAGAAAACACTGCCATTTTACTGTATTAGCCTCCAACCTTAAACTCTGAATCCTGAAAAGCCTTTTGAAATATCCTGCTGAGTCTTGAATTCATCTCTGAATCTGTAGCAAAAAGAATAAATCTAATGTGCATGCATGCAGAGATGCACACTGATCAATTCCGGTTTTGCATAATATGACAAGTCAAGGTACTTTGCACCTATACGATTTTATCTCATTTTCTGTAAAGTCAAACCAGTGCAATTCTTTCTGCTTGCACCTTGCTTATCCACATCTTTCCTCCTCACAAAGCAGCCTATTTCTTTTTTTCCTGGATTCAAACATTTATTACCCAACATAACTATTGTTTAGTAGCGTACCTAGGAAAAGAGCAAACAAAAGACAATTTGCCCAGTGCTCTAATTTGTCCAAGTAGATACCCACAATAAACCAATGACAAGTGACCAAGCAAAACAATAGCTGAAGATCTAGGCAACGATCAACTAATTGGAACAATAAATTGTTTAAAATGACAGTAATTTTAAAAGACTTGGCAGTTTGCAAGCAACGCTGGAACTAAAGCAGCAGTATCACTTTCCAACCCCTCTTCAACACAACTAGAATCACAAAGCTCAGATTAAGAAACATTTTTTCTTGGTAATCTTTGGTTCCACACTTGCTAAATAGGTCTGTGCCATTCTGTCCGTGAGGACTTCTTTTTGGCATGTTAGCACATTGGGATTCCAAATCCTCTTGAACTGTGTGAGGAGAGAATGCTTAAGAGAACAACAGGTAAGGAGAGTTATGAAAACAGGCACTGTACCTAGCTGGTGAGATCTTCCATCCCCTAGTGGGTATCTCTGGTACCGTGGGACACTGAATGGAGGCAGGAGATGGAATCGTTTCTCCAGCAACGGTTCAAGTCTGCAGGCAGAGGGGTCAGCAGAGTGAAAGAAGCTGTACACTTGGCTGCAGGCTGGGCGGACCTGGCACACTTGGATGAGAATGAGACAAGAGAAAGAGAGTTCAGTATTGCCTCGTTACGATTTTCAAAGAGTCTATACAGAAACATGGTTAATATGGTCTTCCGCAAATTCAGACTAGCATGCATCTGGCCACGAGAAATTTAACTGAACTGTTTGCTATTTTCTATGTAAAGAACACTTCACCGCAAAGGAGTTTACAGAGACAACACAACCCAAGATGCAGGCACGTAGCAGACGTGAAGACCAGCCAGAGAAACAGACAGAAGTAAGGAAGGAAAAGGAAGTTTAAAAATCTTGCAAATACACTGTTAGGCATTACAGCTATGATGTGCAGCACTTCAAATATTCATCAGCAAAACGGTTTGATGCGCCTGTTACGTCCAGAGGACTTAAATCTAGGTGACAGCAGGAACAGGCAGGTGACAGAAAGCACTGTGGATTCTGAAGTCACCTTATGAACACTAATGCATAGGAGTTAGGTTGGTCATACCCTAACAGCAAAGCAATGTTCATGATTCTTACTGGAGGTGTGCAGCTCCTGAGGTTTTTGGGCTGCAACTGTAAATGCCAATCTGAAAATCACTTACTCAGCTAATAAGGCATTCTTTTGACTAAACGCACAGAGCTGAAGCGTAACTTATACTTGGACGGGTGATCACACGAGACTGCTAAGGCCCGTAAAATGGTCACTGTAGTCACTTCTTGCCACACCACACTTCAATCACACTGAATCTTGCCAGAGCGAGCAAAGCGATTCATTATAGGCTCATTAAACTTCATACAGTTTGTATAGTACCGCATTACATGTTAGAACAGCCAGTTTATTAACTACAAGAGTAAAAGGATGAGTAAAGTATTTATAAAATACGTTTGAGAGTATTATGTCTGCTCCCTGTGAACTCCATGCAAGCAAGACATGCTTTCAAACCTGCCGTGCTACACAATAAACCCTAAATGTTCTTTTGATAGAATTACTATTTCCTTGTGGTGATAACAAAAACCTGGTAACAGGTATGATGTTTTTCCTTAGAAGACATGTTTGGTACAGCATTGTTCCCATGCACAAGCCACACACATGCTTAACTGGAAACCATGAAGATGTTAAGAGTTCCAGTATAAGGTGTCACAGAATATTAGATCTAATGGAGTCCATCCTGCGCCAAACTGCAGTCAACCTGTGTAGCTGCTGAAATATGGTACTGACAGATATTCAGAAGGCGTTAAACCTCAGAAACCACACGTGTACCCAGCCCACATTTGTACAGGCAGGTACCTTGTCAACTCTGGTTAAACCTATAATGAAGAGAGAATGGCACAGCCATTCAGAGAGCAACTGATTGCAACCCATCGGCAACAGATGAAGACGAGACTGCTCCTCACATGGTATCTGAGTCCACTGCTAAGGTAGATGTGATGAATCACATCCACGAGGACCACTTTATTGCATGTGCTCTGTGCTAAAGCATCTAGGAGACTTATTTTCATGTCATGAAAACGTCAGTACACATAGCCTCTCAAGAAATGCTCTGGGACAAATCCTCCAATAAGAATATACCTATATGTGATCCAGTTCTGCCAAACTGTGAACTTTTTTCTTCTTTGGACATGCAGTGGGCATTGTATTTTGCATTCACTGACTCACTCTGAGGATGGTGCAACACCTCTTTAATTCTGCAAGATTTTTGTCACAATGTGGGTGTCTTTGGGGGCATTAAATGAAGCTTTGTAGGTTGGCTTTTCCCCTCCAAGCTCTCTTTGTAAAACATATCAGTGGCAATTGATACCAGGTTTCCAGCTGCAGGATAACAAAAAACTACTTTTGATGTCTGTTGCATGTTGATTTTTCTAGAAAAGATGGCTCTGTGCATCAATCAGCACGCCTGGCAGCAGATGGAAAGAAAGTGGGAGATAAGAAGACTGTTTGTGGAAGACACTATAGAATCTCTTCCCTTTCCCACTGTCAGATAAATAGGAGCTTCAAGCCACCTCTGACCCCTTCCCACCGTTAAGCTGGCCATATGCAGTAACTACGGCCTGTGAGATTCTTCTGTGAAGTACCTTCCCATGGTTCTCTGGGAACCACTATCAAGTACCCTTTTTCTTAACACAAAATGAGCACAGCAGTTTATTGCGCTATGAAAACCGAGTAAATTCTCCCACGTATTCCAGTTAATTGCATCACAAGAGAAGCAGAAGGGCAACACCAGCAAGACTGCAAAGATCTAAGACTACTTTTGATGGCTTTCTTCAAGCTGTATTTTGTTCTTAGTATTTACCGGAAAAAATGGAAACAGGTCACCTGTCTGAGAGCATTTAAGCACAGCAGAAATTAATTCTCTGCAAGGAAAGTATAGTTCTCTTGCAGAGCCCAAATAATGTGAAATAAATTCTGTGAGGTAAAGCATTGCACTGCATTATAATTAAAACCGTATTTTGGCACGCCTCTAACTTTCACATACGCATTTAGGGATCTAGAGCTTATAAAGTAGAGCAGTAAACTGGGTATTACCCTACTAAACTAGAGCTTCCTTCCCTAGCAGGCAGCATATCGGTTTGTTCTGTCTTTCTTGTCATGCTTAACAATAACTGTCAGAGCCAAACATAAAAGAAGTGCTTAATGTAATTAAATCAGTTACCTAATTGCACCTCCTAATACCTCTTTTTGTGCATGTCTGCCTTCTGTATACGCACAGGCAGACAGAGACAAAGGAAGCCAGGAATGCAAACAGCAGGGTTATGAAAGTCGTGAGCACCAGGCAGATTATGATATTTAGTGGCAACAAGAAAGCAAGTCCTCTCGGTTTCAGCTGTTTTCATACCCTTCTTCCAACCTGGCAAAGGAACATAGCACATGGTGTTCCAAAGGAGATTACTTCCTGCTGCTGTGGCATTTAGCAGTATGAGTTCCCAGCCTGATCACCGAGAGCAAGTGCAAACCACCCAAAACAACCGTCCTAAGGTAGAACAGCGCCACTCTGTGGATGTAACCAAAAGCTCGTGATACATCTGAATTCTAAAAAACGCTGACATGTTCATAGTGTAGCAAGCCCCTCCAAGGATAATCAGCACACAGCGAGAGGAAGAACCTGGCAGAGGCGCAGGAATGATCAGTACTTCAGAAAACAAGAACTGCGATGAGGCAGCGGGAGCACCACGGAAGAGTGCTAGAGGGTAACCAGAAGAACGCTCAAGGAAACGCTAAGGAACCAACAGAATATTCGACAGAAGAGAATTAAAAGACATTTGGCAAGGAAACAAACAGTTGGAATAAAGAATTGTTTTTAGCTGCACTCTTATTAGGGTAAAGATAAATAAATATTCAGAAAGTAAAACATGACAAAGTGCATCTGTTCTGCAGACAGAATAGGCAAACCTTTAGATCTAGTTTTTTTCCCTTTTATTTGAAAAACTGACTCTAACAAAACAAATAAATAAAATCATCCTGAATTTTCTTTCTCACATTTCCAGGTAACCTTCTACCTTTTATTTCAGTAAAAAGGGCACCTGACTCTTCTCACCTCACTCCCAACTGTCTGCACGATAGGTTTCAATTTGTCTGTTTCCCTCTCAACTGCACCACAATTATCACTTTAAAAGGGGATTCTCTTCCCGTATGTACCTCTAAAGACTAATTATGCTTCAATTAGACTCTGCTCACCTTGGAATGTGTTTGAACTGCTGGTCAGTTGAGCTGCTCTCAAAACATGCTCCCTGCAGGATACCAGTGGGAGAATGGAAGTGAGAGCCAATTGGAAGAAAATAATTTGAAATACTACTAATTAATGCGAAATTTTCCTGTCAAAAGTGTCTGGAGGGTTCCAGAGCTGAGACTGGGGAAAGAAGAGAGTTTAGAAACATTGGCTAGAGAGTTTAGAAACATACAGTCCCATTCCAGTAAAGTATTTAAGCACTGAAATTTGCCATCCATCTCTACCTAATCCCAATTCTTTACAGTTATCTCGTTCATACACTATAAATTCAAATACAAATGAGAAGGGAACTTTGACCTGTGCAGAGCTGCCACTGAAATATTATAGGAGGACTTTGAAGTTGTGTTTGCCCTTTGCATTCCAGTTTCTAAAGGCAAAAATGCAACTGTATGGTACATTAATTTCTTCCAAACTGGTAACAGGAACACTTGCTGTGCAGAAGAGCTTGCTTTAGAGTCTGGTAGCAAGTGGGAAACTGTGACAGACAGATTATACCTTGCACCAACCTTACCAGTTTCACTGTCTGTAGCCACGTCTCAGGCATCTTGTTAAATGAAGCTATCAGAACTTAAACACACTGTGTTTTGTCTTTAGTGATACATTCTCATTCATAAACGGCAAGCACAGGCAGGAATCAGAGTCACGGTAACCTTCAGAAATTCCCTTCTTACCAGTCAGGGCAAAGCTGTCTCTTTTCCTTCTCTTGCCTTGCAGCCTTCCCCAGTAACACAGATGAGTTTCAAGTTCAAAACAGCATTATAGCCTCATATAAAACATAGTCAAAATATGGTAAGTCACTTTGTTTTTAACATTACCACCAAAGACACATCCCAGCAGCCTCATTTTTACCTTGTTCGTGCTTTGCCTGGATTTCAGACAGGGAAAGGTTAAGATCAACTTGCAGAGCTTCCCCTGTCCCAGCGATCCTACTTCTCAATGTAAGGTTTCAGGAAGGCAGTGCTCACCTCTGTGAATCCAACATTACCTCCAAAGGACATGTTTGTGTTTATATGGCCAATAATGACTTTTAAACATAGTTGTCACACTTTTGAATACACAAATGCGTTCATATGCAGCACAGCATTCAAGGGAAGACTTTCAGATTGCACGGAGAATTACACACACAAACTGTATCACTTCAGAGCAATCCTCTTGCAAAAAGCCACAATTCCATTAAATTTTGACACATTTTCAAAATACGCATACATTCCCTAGAAGTGCAATCTGAATTTCATCCGTGCTCATCAGGACTGACTGATGGAGGGCTTACCACTCACAGTCAACTGCTGACAGCCACCGCTGGCTATATGAAAAGACGTGCCCATGTCTGCCACTGGGGTACTCTGTACCAAACACTGCCAGCATTTCCTACTTACTGTGCAGTAACTGGCATCTGCTAATCAGCATTTGTCCTCAAAGCCTCTAAAAAGGTGTCTAATGGAACAGACGCATGCTCTGTTTCATATCTGATTCCAGAGCAAACGTGTCCATTCTGTTTCATTAAATGGAAACCACAGCAGCTTACAAACATACGAATTCTAGCTCAAAGAATTTGAATCCATGCACGCAAATTAATACTGATAGAATTCTCCACATGAAGTCCTACAAAACCCCCCCTCAACTCCCTGCCCCAGACTCCCCAGCAAACCCCCCCCCACCTTCAGAGAGAAGTGTTGCCCATCTTGTAAAGAAATCCCTAAGACAGAAAACCAAATTGCAGTGTAGTTTTCAAAGCCAGCCATCACCGATGTAATTTGTGTTCATTTCCCTGACAGCTCTTTCAGAGAAGCAAACAGCCTTAGTTTGCGGGGAAATATATAGGAATATGAGTAAAAAAGGGCTCACAACCAACACACCTGGGGGCCAAATTTGCTCACGAAGCCAGACACGAACAAGACACAATGCTGAACCAAGCACAGATGTGACTTTTAGTATCTTTTTCATGGCTTGGTCCTCGGTGAGGTGTAAGCTTCATGTTGCATGACATGGAATATATGATTAACAGCAGAGCAAAAGACACACTACTGTAAATGGATGAGCAGTAATACCCCTGGAACAACCCTCATTGCCTCAGCACCTACCTACCCATCTTTTAGAGGAAGAAACTTACCCCACTCCCCAGTCTTTATCTAGGCTCTTTCATTTACCTCCTTTCTACAAAGATCATTAAGCAGCCTGTATTCTGACCCCAGAAAGAGCTTACCATCCAGGCCAGGCAGAACAGTACTCCTCATGGCCAGCACCAAACCAAGCGGCGATCCAAAGAGGAAGAAATCAGACACCTCAAATTCAAATCGGCCCAGGTTTACTTCTGAGAGACTGGAAGTCACAGGAGGAAAGTCTGCACCATCTTTCAACACACTTGAGTGGATGCTGAGCAAAGAAAATGCATTGATTCAACAATAACGAAGAGGGCATCCAGAGAAAAAAAATCCATTCCCCAAACAGACTGATTAGAAAGCTCTAGCATCTGTACCTAGATCCAAGCAATATGCCTTAAACTGTAGATAGATACTGCAGTATAGCAGCCACTTACCATGATTTCCAGTGTGGCTATTCTGTAAATTTACTGCCTTCAACATGCAAGAGCTGTCTACAGTTGCTCTACAGAACACTTATCGCCAAGTTATGCAAGTACTCTAAGACTGAAGTTCACCTCCTCTCTCTTTCAGCAGTACAGATGTACGTAAGCTTATTCTGAAACTCCTGCTACAAATCCTAACCTACTCAAGTTGTAGAAGGACAACGGTATTAAAAGGTTACACTCATAAAATATGTTACATGGGTACATAAAAAGCATTGTTCTAATCTGTTCCCTGAGCTATGAACTAGAATTTCACTACTTTTCAGCTATTTATTACAGGCTAAAATTAGTGATGCTTATAGACAGCTTTTAATCCTTTAAGTGATTTAAACACTTCCATTTACTTTGTACGCCATACATGCATGAGGTAAATACAGATCACCTATCCCTCACTGACAGAGAAAAGACTTGTCCCTCATGTAGTTCTGCAGGAGATGAAATGACTCCATTCAGAAGCAGAGAAGTAGCCATATACACCTTGTCCAGCCACGAGCCAGAGCAGAACATGCCTCTGGAGCGTGCGGAACCGTCCGAGAGATGCTGGCCCTGCTGACTTCAGCCAGAGCTGTGACTGAAGCACTCACGAGTCACCTGCACACCACCCTCTGCGTCAGTGGCCAAGCATGGATCAGAATCCAAAAATCCTTAAGACTGGTCCCAAATGAGGCCAAGACACCAGGCCTCTCCTTCAATCTGAGAACCTAGTGACACTCGCCATTTATAACATCATGTTACTCACTGAAACTCTGGTGAGCAAGCTTAGGGCTCCTTTAGGGCTGAAATGAAGACAGCCAAGAATTAAATCCACCATCAGCACAGCAGTTAGGAGTTACCTCTCTCTGCCAAAAGCACTCAGACAAAAAGCACAAGCTGACACATTGAAACACAACCACAGTGTGTAGGACAAGGATGTTCGTGTGTGGAAGAGTGTGACCTCATTGCTCACACTGACACACCACCTCTAGCTTGCAGTAAATGAGCTCATGGGGAAAAAAAGTCTTTAATGATCTTACGCGAGTCTCACAGGAAACGAAAGGCTTGGAACCTCTCTCTAGGTACAGGGTGGGCCAGAGGGTGACATGGTTTGGTCTGATTTGTCCCCGCCACCCCCTTACCTTACCAAGGAATTTTTTCTGCCACCTTTAGCCTGTGGTTGTCCAACTATTCCTCAATAACTTAGCGACAGCCTAGAGTTTGAGGAGTCCACAATGTGAATGGAAGATAATGTTTTTCTGTCTGCTTGTTTAAGTACAGTTGCACATAGAGCTTTCAGTTTAAAATCATAGATACGCAGGAAATGAAAAAAGGTTTGGAAGAAAAATTGTTATCTTTTCCTTTTAATTATTCTATCATCCCCCAAGTCTGAAGTGCTTTGTACAAGCCACCGCTGCTTTAAACGTAACACAGCACTCCTTCTATACAAGAACCTAGAAATGGCTGTCCTGGTGTCGGCTGGGATAGAGCTAATTTTCTTCATAGTAGCTAGCATAGTGCTGTGTTTTGGATTTAGTACCAGAAGAATGTTGATAACACACTGATGTTTTCAGCTGTTGCCAAGTAGTGCTCAGACTACTCAAGGACTTTTTGAGCTTCTCCTGCTTGCCCAGGTGCATAACAAGCTGGGAGTACAGCACAGCTAGCACAGCTAACCCAAACTGACCAAAGAGCTATTCCATACCATA